TGTGTGTGTGTGTGTGTGTGTTTAAACCTACTTGAAGATCATGTGGTTAAGTGTTGGGTGTGGGGATGCAAGACGGGAGCATCCAGGTCAGAGGTGAATTGCTTTCCTAAAGAAATAGATACGTATGTGTGGGAGGAAGGGAAAGATCGATGAGCAGAGAAGGCTGGGCTGGCACACCTGTGGCCTAGATAGGAGAAGAATGGAAAGGGGGAAACAGTGAGCAGAGGAGAGGGTGGAAAAGATCTGGGTATTGAGGATTGCTTTTGATAGAAGGAGTGTTAAGGTGTGATAAAATATCCCCTGAGTTTTTCCCAGGCATAGTCTGGGCCCTGTGTGCCTCCCAAGCTGCTTGGACCATGCACACAGGACCATGGTTTCAGAGTCACTTCTGTGACTCCAGTCTGAGCTTGTGGGAACTGCTGTTGCTCACAACGATCCCTACCAAACAAAGGACATTGAATGAGAAGTCAAACAACAAAGGTGAAATAAAATGTCTGGCTAGGGCTAGCATTTCTTAGGCTTTTCTATGAAAACTAGTGCTTATTTACAAGTCATGACTTACAGAGCTGTAATAAAGATTTAGCATGAGGGAAATATTCCCATTCAACATAAATTGGATCCAGTCACTCCCCTATGATGCTTCCCATCGTATTGAAGTGATGTCTGCGTTGGCGTGCCAACATCCAGCATAGTTCCTAGCACACAGTGGTACTCGATATACATTTATGAAAGACAGTCGGGAAGAAAAGGAGGAAGGGAGAGAATTAGTAGTTAGATAAACAATCAATGCATCATCAGTAAAAAGATTTTAACAATGGTGTAAACTCAATGCACAGAACCCAGGATATTAAATCTTTATGAGGATGAAGACAATAGCATAATTCAGGATCTCCTTGGATCCTTTGGTTGGAGATGGATAGGGGGACAAGGAGTAGGTGGCAGAATCTCTATGTTCCCATGCAGAAAATAGAGAAAGGTATTTTTTTCCCTTCAGAAAACATCAGTGGGTAAGATGATGCCCTCTTATTGGTAACAAGATTTGGGCTTCTTTCCAGAGAGTGACAGAGATCCTTCCAGCAAATCTTGTGGTCTTTGATGTGAGCACTGCCGAGAAAATACCTTCCACCAAGCAAGTATGGGAGAGAAACTTGAAGAAGGTATTTCATGTTCTCCTTTGTTGTATCTTTGATGTACACAAAAGATGTGGTCCTAGAAGATGAAGACTTTATCCATTTTCTTCTTCCTGAGGAGAGCTTTGTTCTGTGTTTCCCTGTTGGGCATGATCCTGGTGAGTAGGTGACAGATAATTATAGGGTTTTCTCATTATCCAAGTAACCATTACCCAAGTCTCCATAGGCAACAGGTTGCATAGAAAAGTAAAAGTCATTATAACACAAAAATATTGACTAAGAAACTTACCATTTATGATAACACCCCTGACTAAAATATGCCCTGCCAATTACAAATACCCATGTGTTACGCTTTAAATTCAAAGCAAATCAACTGTGAAGACAAACTCAAAATCTTTTAAAGGATACAGTTTCATAAAGTCAATCAAAGTGATCTGGGAGAAGTGTTCCCAAGTACTGGCAAATGACAAACTGGCCTAGTTAAACTGGTGACCAGTTGGGGTGGGGGGTAGGGGACCATAAGGGGGATGACATAATAGCACTTCAAAAAGAAAATAATCTGAACAGCAAAAGAAGATACCCTTGGGGAAATTGACAAGACCAAATATTTCCCCAAAATGATCTCTCTTGTGAACTTACTGCAAAACCTAAACATGATGTGAAAGATGTCATTATCATACTGTGATAGAATTTGTGTTGAAAATTATGCCTTCCAAATTTCTGATTCATTCTTCACCATAAACGTTAGTTCATAATTGTGATTATAAACTTTAAAATATTTATAATATTAAAGTAGGGATTTTGAAGTGAATTTTAGTTTAATTTTTCAAGTTAGAATTTCAATCAAGTCTTTTGCCCTCGCTATTTACTTGAAAAATTGGTCCCTGTATTAACTGGCTTTACTTTTCGTGGCCTATTCCAGGTATCAGTTATCCTTGCAGAAAGAAGACCTCCTCTAGTCTTGAATTTCTCTCCTTCTTCCTCCTCCACTGTCACTTCCTTAATCGAGTCCAACACTGTTTCTCACTTGGATTATTACAACTGCCTCCTATCACTCCTGCCTCCTGGCTTGCCCTTCTCCAATTCTTTCTCCCAGTTGCAGCCAGATGGAGGTTTCTAAAATACAAACATGGTGATGTCACTCCCCTACTTACAGTCCTTTTAGGGAGCCCATCTACCCCCTGTGTGCACATGTCTTAGTGTATCTTGCAAAGCCTTCAACCATCTCTCTCCAATATCCTCAGCCCTCCCTCCTGTACTGCTGTGCTCTTCATTCCAGCTTCTCATCATCCCTAATGCACTATCGTCCCACAGATCCGGCCATTGCACAGGCCTAATGCCTATTCAGCTTTCAGTTCTCAACTTAGAGATCGCTTTCTCCAGGAAGCCTTCCCAGATCACCTGGGTTTGATGTCCCTCCCTTATGGTCGGTCCCACAGCATCCTGCACTAACTGACTGTAATGAAGCTCTTATGAAACAATATTATTATCTGTTAGGGACGAGGGCACTACCACTGACACTTCAAGAATCTCTAGCACTTTGCTCGACACCTGGCCCAGAGCAGGTACCTTAGTATATGCTTAATTAAAGGAATGAATGAATCAATAAGTGTAGCACCAACCAAACCGAAACAAAATTAATACTGTCATGAAAGGGAGTTAAGCCTTGTAGTTAAATTGAGACAGTTCGAAGTCTGATAGGTAAAGAACATGAAAGTTAAGACATCAAAACTCTTCCAGAGGTTATTTCTGGGGAGTGTGATTGGGGGAGTATAAAAAGGGAATTTCATTTTTTACTTTATATACCCAACAATTGTTTGATATTGCTATAAGAATGCATTACCATTATAACAAAAATTTTTAAAAATAATAAATGCCCATAACCAAGTGTTTACTGTTAGTTTTTAAATAGCCTCTAATCCTCTTCTTAATTTTTTAAAAATTTTAATTTTATTGGAATATAGTTGACTTACAACTTTGTGTTAGTTTCAGGTGTACAGCAAAGTGAATCAGTTATACATATACATATATCCACTCTTTTTTAGATTCTTTTCCCATATAGGTCATTACAGAGTATTGAGTAGAGTTCCCTGTGCTATACAGTAGGTCCTTGTTGGTTCTCTATGGTATATATATCAGTGTGTGATGTTCATCCGAGCTCCTGATTTATCCCTCACCCCCCCACCCCCTGCCACGTTTCCCCTTTGGTTACCATAAGTTTGTTTTTGATATCGGTAAGTCTGTTTCTGTTTTGTAAATAAGTTCACTTGTATCATTTTTTTAAATTAGATTCCACATATGTGTGATATCATGAGACCTGTCTTTCTCTGTCTGACTTACTTCACTTAGTATAATAATTTCTTGGTCCATCCATGTTGCTGCAAATGGCATTATTTCATTCTTTTGTATGGCTGAGTAATATTCCACTGTATATATGTACCGCATCTTCTTTATCCATTCCTCTGTCAATGGACGTTTAGGTTGCTTCCATGTCTTGGCTGTTGTAAATAGCGCTGCAGTGAACACTGGGGTGCACGTATCTTTTTGGATTATGGTTTTCTCCAGATATATGCCCGGAGTGGGATTGCTGGAACATATGGTAGTTCTATTTTTAGTTTTTTAAGGGACTTCCATAATGTTCTCCATAGTGGTTGTACCAATTTTTTTTTTTTTTGGCTGCATTGGATCTTTGTTGCTGCACACAGGCTTTTCTCTAGTTGCGGCAAGGAGGGCTACTCTTCGTTGTGGTGCACGGGCTTCTAATTGTGGTGGCTTCTGTTGTTGCAGAGCACAGGCTCTAGGCGCGTGCGCTTCGGTAGTTGCGGCATGTGGGCTCAGCAGTTGTGGCTCGCAGGCTCTAGAGCACAGGCTCAGTAGTTGTGGCACACAGGCTTAGTTGCTCTGTGGCATGTGGGATCCTCTCGGACCAGGGATCGAACCTCTGTCTCCTGCATTGGCAGGCGGACTCTCAACCACTGCACCACCAAGGGAGTCCTGGCTGTACCAATTTACATTCCCACCAACAGTGTAGGAGGGTTCCCATTTCTCCATACCCTCTCCAGCATTTGTTTGTAGACTTTTTGAAGATGGCCTCCTCTTCTTAATTTGAATATTTCCATTTGTTAATTTTTTTTCTAAAAAAATGGAAAAACTGTAAAATGAAAGCTATCTTAAAGAAATGAAATATTCTGGACATTTTTAGCTTACCTGTTATGTGATGTTTATACAGGATCTCCAGGATTTTTGCTGGTCATGGAATGTTCTTAGAATGTTCTTAATAATCGTGTGTCATGAGAATTTATTGTTGCTTCTTCAGGAGAGTGCAATTGACTTAGAGGGAAGAACATACACTTGGAGGGAAAGAACTTTTAGTTTTCACTGTATTCTGTACTATTATTCATTATTATTATTATTCTCTACTATTCAAAAACTTTACAAGAAGCTCCTATTACCTTTATAATAAAATAAAAACTAATTAAAAATTTTAAAGTCAGTACTGGCAAGCATTTTATGAGGCTTTTAAAAAATACATTAATACTCCCGGCAACACTTAAAGGTAGTAATTATCATCATCATTTTTTTTTTTTTTTTTGCGGTACGCGGGCCTCTCACTGTTGTGGCCTCTCCCGTTGCAGAGCACAGGCTCCGGATGCGCAGGCTCAGCGGCCATGGCTCACGGGCCCAGCCGCTCCGCGGCATGTGGGATCTTCCCGGACCGGGGCACGAACCCGCGTCCCCTGCGTTGGCAGGCGGACTCTCAACCACTGCGCCACCAGGGAAGCCCTCATCATCATTTTAAAGATGAAGAAACTGAGACTATAAGAAGTTCTGTGACTTGTTCAGGGTCAAAGTGGTAATAAGGGCCAGACTGAGGAATCAAACCCAAGTCTAATTTTAAAGTCAAGGTATAATTCTTTAAAAATGTAACACATCATGTTTTTTGTTTTATTAAACAAGTAAATAGTAGTTTGCTTGGAGGATAAGTGTATTACTTTAGGGACGGAGAGAGATTTATTTTCTTAGTTTAGGGCAGTAGCAAAGCTTAGGGATTCAAAATAAATGCTTTCCTGGATTAAGGCACCCAAAGAGGAATCATATTAGCTGCCAAATTGAAAACAAATTTCCTTCTAACATCGTTATTAGCATCTTAAACATTATCATATTTCCTAAATATTCTTTCTCAGCTTTAGCAACAATAAAGCTTTAGACATATAAGCCTTGAATATAGGAAGCAATCGATATTGATTTTAAATTTGTTAAAGTATAAATGTGTGTATTTATATACATATATGTGTGCATGTTTTCATATGAGTATGTATTTGTATAGTGTAGAAAACTATATACCAGATGTTAACTGTTGTTGTACCTGACTGATGAAATTATAAATAAGTTTTAATTTCTCTGGAATTTCCTATACTTATTCAGTTGTCTAAAATGGATATTTATTAATTTTGAAATAAGAAGAAAAAGAGTGGGAATTGTTCCACAGGATAATGAGATTTATTATAAAGTCATAGTAACCATGTGTACTGGCTCAGGAATAGACAAATTGACCAATGAAACAGAATACAGAGCGTAGAAATACATATAGAAATTTGATATAGGAGAGGTAATATGGCAGCAGGGTGGGATGGGGGGAGGAGGGGAGATAATTCAATAAATTGAGCTGGAAAAAAAGTTACCCATAATAGAAAAATATGATTTTGGATCCCTAACTCAAATCATACTCAAAAGTCAATTACAGATAGAGTACGGACTTAAATGCCAGAAGGAAACAGAAAAGATTGAGAAATATTCTTAAACAAGATACAAAGAATGCTAATCATTAAAGAAAAGACTGATAAGCCCAACTCCATTAAAACTAAGAACTTATGCTGAGAATACCCTAAAGAAAGTGAAAAGGCAAGTCATAAGCAGGGAGAAAATATCTGTAAGGATACAAACACTGTATTAGTCAGAGTTCTCCAATAGAAAGGAAATGTGTGTATATATAAGGATATTTATTATAGGAATTGGCTCACACAATTATGGCAGCTCAGAAGTCCCACAATCTGCCCTCTGCAAGCAGGAGACTCAGGAAAGCTGGTGATGTAATTCAGTCTATTCCTGAAGACCTGAGTACCAGGAACCTAAATGTCTGAGAGCAGGAAATGATGGATGTCCCAACTCAAACGGAGAGCAAATTTGCCCTTCCTTTACCTTTTGTTCTATTTAGTCCCTCAAAGGACTATGTGATGTCCACCCACCCAATGAGGGTGATTTTCTTTACTCAGTCTATAAATTCAAATCCTAATCTCTTCCCAAAAACACCCTCACAGACACACCCAGAAATATTTTATCAGCTATCTGTGAATCCTTTGGCCCAAGCAAGTTGACACATAAAATTAACTATCATAGCCACCAACAGATTAGAATAAAAAAATTATCAATTGCTTGAAAGCAAACAATTCAATAGAAAAACAAGCAAAAGACATGAACAGACATCTCACAGAAAAGTAGACATTTCTGGCCAATTAATACAAAAAGAGGCTATCAACCTTATTAGTAATCAGAAAATACAGATCAAGGTCAAAATACCATTTTATACCTAATAGCTTAAGAAAAATAAGAATACCAAGTGTAGGGAGGATGTGGCTCAACAGGAAAGCTTACACATTCTGGTGGGAGTATAAATTATTACAGTCACTTTGGAAAATAATTTCATAGTGTTTGGCAAAGCTGAACATTCACATACCTCCAACCCAGCAGTTCTACTCCTGGGTGCGTACTCCTGAGAGAAAGTGCTTCCGTGTGCCCATGAAGACGTGTTGAAGAAGGTCCACGGGAGAACTCTTCATAACAACAAAAAAATGGAAATGACTGAATTGCCCACTGAGAAAAGAATGTATATTAGTAAGTATCTAACATAGTGTCTGGCACATAGTAAATACTCAATAAATGATAGCCATTATCATTAGCCCTGAGTATCAGTTTCATCATGCAAAATACAGCGATAATAATACCTATTTTACAGTAATGTGTAAAGAATTAAATGAGAAACAGATGTAGGCCCTTGGCACACAGACAGCATTTGACAAATGTTACTGCCTCCTTATGGATGTGAGTGAAGTCTGGGAGGGAGCTATCAGGTTGGTAATGAAAGGGTGTGTATATGCGATGCTGCCAGCCAAGGCCTACCCTTAGCAGGCTTCTAAGACTGGCTGTTTTTGTTCTGAATCAACATTTTTATGCCTACTCTATGCCAGGAAAGCACCTTCTGAGGTGGCACTACTCTTGTCCCCATTTTACACATTTGGAAACTGAGCCTTGAGAGCTGAGATGACTTGCCCCAGGTCACCCAGCTCAGAGGAGTAGATCTGGATTTGAACTCAAGACTATCTGATCCTTAAAACCAGCACCCTCTACTGCTTTCCAAATGCTACCAGAGCTCAACATCACCTCTAACAGAAAGTCAAAAAATCTCAACTGGCAGGGATTCCAGACCGTCCTTCCAGTCCTTATCCCCACCTGAGGGGTGTGTGTGTGTGTGTGTGTGTGTGTGTGTGTGTGTGTGTGTGTGTTGGGGAAGGGAGGAGACCCAGTCCTGACAACCAATGGGAGACCTTGGGGCAAATGTCAGCCTGGAAGAGCAAAGGCCACAAGTGGTTAACGGTATTATTCCCTGAAGGGCACCAGAAAGTCAAGTGAGCCATTCTTGACCTTTCAGAAGCTATTATGAGGAAAACATAAAAAAAACAATTCTGCGGGCTTAATGAAGGAACGCTGTGAAAAGTGTAATGGGCTATGTGTGCACATCTCAAAAGCATCATATAATTTGCCACAATTGGCAGTCTATTCTCCAGCAAGGCCAAGCAGGGTGTTGCTACTTAGGCCCAAAGTGCCTTGGCAAAGCCAGGACCCCACCTCCGTCCCTTCTCTAAAACCCAGGGTGTCTATGATTTAATTTCCAAGGTTTAAACAGCAGCTGCTCAAATGAAATGTGGCACAGGCTCATTCGTTTTCCCTGAGTGCTAAAATATGTTTTATGCTTCAAAATATAAGCCCTATTTTGGCTTTGGTTTTTTTCCCACTCCACATACAGAGTTCTTTTTTTAAAAATTACATTTCCAGGCAATTAGTTCATTACATTGACTCAGCTCTTCATGACTTTGGTGGGGGCTGGTGGAAGAGTGAGGTGGCAGAGTACTTCATTATTTTTAAAAATGGTTATTGGCCATGTTCGGTTCCCATAATTCATTCCCAATTTCATAAGGGCATTTACTATGCAGAGCCTCTGCATAAAATCGTCAGCTGCTACATTAGCACAATGGCTCTTTGGAGTCATAACAGTCTACCACAGAAATGATCCGTGGATTATATAAGTTTGTAAGGTCCAATACACTTACAAACATTTTTTTTTACCCTTTTCCATTATTTATTCCTCATTAGGCTTCCCCCTCCCTTTTTTCTGCTCTTTAATACAAATGCAAAAATAACACCCAAAGCCAGGAAGAAATAAGCCCAAGTAAGTTTAACTAAAGCTAAGAGAAGGCTGAGGAAATGATTCTATAAAAGCAATGATTTTCAGTTAACCCTGACCATCAGCCTACATTGTGTTCCTACAGAGTTTCTGCTCTCTGTTCACATTGTCTGCCAAATAGAGGTAAAGTGACTTTGGGGGCCAGGGTTTCTAGCTTTTTGTAGTCTGTGTCACAGTCTGGGGAACTGTTGTGTGACTTCCATATAGTGTTCCTATGTTGGCTATTAATGATTTGAGTCTATTTCAGGTTCTCAACTGTTCTAAAACTGAGTGGTAAAAGTAGGAAGCAAAACTGGTAACTGTGTATTCAGACAATGTGGGCATTTTTAATCAACTTACTTGAAAGATAGAAAAATTGGTCTTAAGCTGGCAGAGATCAGTAGGCAGAAAGCAAACTGGAATATCTTCAGTGGCCCGGGCTCGGCCAGGATTAGAGCCCAGGTTTGCTGAAGCTATAAACAAAGGTGGCAGCAAAGTGAATTTAATAAGAGAAACATGCCCTGGACAACTGTCACTGCTCATATGTGATGTAGATAATTCTTTACCAGCAGTACAACCTTGCCCTTCACTTCTGACACCAGAGAATAGATTGTTTTCTTAGAAATGGAATATTCAAGTGAAAGGTATTTTTAGACATCTCCAGAAATGCATCCACTAGGAACAAAGGGTTGACCATAGTGTTTATCATCTCTCCCTGCCAAGACCCAATAAATGATAGTGAAAGAATGAACCCATAACTAAGACAAGCACAGAAAGGAGGCCATCAATGAATAAGGCACCTCGACAAATTTCTGATGGATGGGTAGATGGTAGGAGGCTATTGGTGGATGAAGGAGAGGGAGTAAGGAAGTTGCTGCAGAGTATGTAGGAGGCTACTCCATAGGAGAAAGGAGACAAGTGACTTAGGGGAGCCCTAAAGAAACTACAGTCAAGATGGGCAGCGTCAGCAGAGGCTGGGAATGAGAAAGAGCTTAACTGAAATTATTTTTCGAAGGACTATTTCTATCAGCTCCCTCTCTCACCTTCCCCTTCCCAATCCCACTGCAAACAGAGCAGCACTTGGTTGATGGGGCAACTGTGGCTCCCACACATCCCTGCGAGTCCTTCCAACCCCAAGCAAGTAAAGCTAGGTCTTGCCCTCCTGCCACCACCTTCCAAATCCAGTTCTTCACCCCCAGGCTGAAAAACCAGAAAATCTTATCTAAAGAAGCTGAGTAACTACCTGGAGAGGAAGGAATGCTAGGGTGGATGCAGGCTCTCCCACAGTACAAAAGTACCTTTTGGCATTTGGGAACCTTGCTTAGAATCCACTTCTAATGAATGCTGAATTCATTCCCTCCCTGAAGTGAAATCAGCTAGGCAGTAATCCTTGCCCTCATCCTCAGAGCCCCCAGGCAGCCTGCCCATTTGAAGGCTAACAGTACAGAGACCTACCCAGGCCACAGTCAATAGTCATTGTTGAGGTCGTCATCAATGTTGTTGCCTTCATCAGTATCATCACCATGATCAAACATTTATTGAGCGCTGACATGACTTCTCAGACCTGTCAAAGGCATCTCAAACTCTTGCTCCAAACTGGACTGATCTTATTCTCCCCCAACTTCCACCCAAAACTCCTCCTCTTCCAATATTTCCTCGCTTGGAGAATGGACCTACCAACCATTGTAATTGACATTTATAGAGCACTTACTCTATGACAGGCACTGTTCTAAGCACGACATATAACAACACATTTTAAACCTTACAACAACCCTAGGTGAGAGGGGGATCCAGGCTTAAATCAGCAAGGACCCCTTGTAAGCATTTCAGATCAACTGGATAAAGAAGTCTCTGAAGAAAGACTTGAATCTCTTAGACTCCAGTTTTTAGTTGTGATATTTTTCTCTGATTCTAAATAAATTTCATACCAAATTTTGCATGAGTTTGTGTGTGTGTGTCTAGTTTTATGATCTTTTTATTATACATTTTAGGCCTCCAAATCTTGGGTTCTCATGGGCAACACTGATACAGGACAAGTGTTAATAGAGCCAACACTTACAGACTCTACTTACAACGGGCAGACACTGCCTACAGTGCTTTGTGTATACTAGCTCATTTAACCTATCTCCCCCATCTTACAGATGAGGAAATGGAGGCACAGGATATTTCAGTGACATGCCCAAGGTCCCAGGAAGCCAGGCTTGGTGGCTCAGCTGTTAGCCTTTCCAGTATGGTCTCTTCGGTAGCTGTAAAGCCTATGCCATTAAGGAAATATTGTTAAAGTTTTAGGTGTGAAATGGAACTGTGGTAGTGTTTTTTCAAATGTGTGCTCCCCTAAATAAATTAAACATAGAATTATCATATGATCCAGCAATTCCACTTCTGGGTATATACCCAAAAGAATTGAAAGCAGGGGCTCGAACAGATACTGGCACACCCATGTTCAGAGCAGCATTATTCACAATGGCTAAAGGGTGGAAACAATCCAAGTATTCATTGTTGGATGAAGGAAAAATAAAATGTGGTATATACACAAGTGGAATATCATTCAGCCTTAAAAAGGAGGGAAATTCTGACATACACTACAACCAGGATGAACCTTGAAAACATTACACTAATAAGAAAGTCATGCACGGACAAATATTATATGATTCCACTTACATGAGGCAGTAGAGTGGTCAAATCCATATAAACAAAAAGTAGAATGATGTTTGCAGGGGCTGAGGGGTTGGAGGGGTAGGGAGTCACATCTAACGGGTACAGAGTTTGATTTTGGGAAGACGAAGTTCTGAAGATGGATGGTGGTAATGGTTGCACAAAACTGTGAATGTGCTTAATGCTACTGAATCATATACTTAAGTATGGTAAAAATGGTAAATTTTATGTTATATGTATTTTACCACTAAAAATCCTAATGAATAGCAAACCGACAAACCCACCAAAAATAAATATAATAATTTTGAAATGTGTGCTCATCTGTTAAAAATAAGATGATGCATTAATAGATGAAATAATATATATTGCTTTAGGATAATGTGGTGAGGGGAGGGATTGAGAAATGTAAGGGCAATGTGGGGTGGGGGATGGGGAGCTGAAATAAGATTGTCCAAATACGGATCGCTGTTAATACTAGGTGATGGTATACATGGATATGTGCATTCTACTTTGTGTATGCTTGAAGTTTCCCATGAAAGAAAAAAAGTTTATTTTATTCTATTCTATTCTATTTTGCCCTGCCTTGCAGCTTGTGGGATCTTAGTTTACCAACCAGGGATTGAACCCGTGCCCTTGGCGGTGAAAGCATGGAGTCGTAACCACTAGACCATCAGGAAATTCCCTTTAAAAAGAAGTTTTAAAAATCTCATCCCAGTAGATAATGGGACAGTAGCTGCCATTGTATTTATTAACCCTTCAAATAGAGACAGGGCCATGGAGCCCCTTTCAGCCCATTCCATGATGCTCCTGAGAACATACGCAACTGCCCACCGATAAGGATTTCACCCTCAGTGTCCCACAGAGAACTCTCAGGGCATTTACTATCAGCAGCTGCCCACCCTGGGTGATCTCAAGGGTTAGGAGAAATAAAAAGTAGCTCTTTCTGGTGCACTACCATCTACAGAAAACTGTGCTTCATCTTGTAATACAAAAAAAAAAAGAAAATGGCAGAGAAGGTCCACATCAAGAATCTTACCTATAAGGTGTGTCTGCTTCATGTCATGGGACTTATCAACTCCTCAACAAAAGAAACATTTTAAATTATAAAATTAAGGAATCTAGGTCATTGTGAATATATTTTTTCTGAGCTTTCACACACACACACACACACACACACACACACACACACACACCCCTACCTTGGTCAAGCAACCACATGAGTTGGAACTGGTCACCGTAAGCAGATAGAGAGCACTCTACTCACTGCTTCATTTATTCATGTTTTAACAAGTACTTACTGAGTACCTACTGCAATTAAGTCATAGTACGATGTGCTAGGTGATGTGCAGACCACCTCAGACCCTCAGAGTTGATATGAAGATTATTTTGAACTAAAAACATTCGAAATTCAATAGATCCAGAAAAAAAGCCTTTTTGGAGCTTCCCTTCTCTGATTAAAGGCAGAAACTCCTGGAAATGCCCCTCTGAGGCAGCTTCACTCTGAGGAAGGAAACTGAGAGTAAAATTGCCACCAATCTTTTCTTGGGACAGTTTTTACTAACTAGAAAGAAGTGGGTGGTGAGTACTTGCACCTGCAGAAACAAATATTATCACAAATTTTCTGTCTCCCATTTTGTTTTCCTAAAAGCCCATTTGTCTTTCCTAAAGAAACTCATTTGTTCTTCCCATAAAAGCCTTTTGTCTCCCCTCCCTTTCCCATTATTAAGTGGATATATAAGCCCCTATCTTTGGCTCTTTGTTGAGTCACATTTTTTCTGTTATTTCCCACATCTGTAAGTGAATAAAAATCTGTCTTTTCTAATACTAATCTTTGTCAATTTAATTCACAGGCCCTCAACCACTGAATTTAAGAGGGTAGAGAGAAAGTTTTTCCTCCATGACAGCGACTAAGACAGAAGAATTCTTGCTCTCATGGAAACTGCATTCTACCAGGTAATATACACAGAAGGAGCAAATGCACAAATAATTATTTACAGCTTGTCATTACTGCTTAATCAAATAATGGGTCAGCGAGAGTTGGTATTCACCTGGATAGCCTCAGTACGAGGATACGATTTGTTAATACTGGAGTCTGTTCTGATTAGTTGGTACCTGTACCTAAGGATGGTTAAAATATGTAGAACATCACACTAGATTGTCTAGATAAGCCTCTCCAAGGAGATGACACTTAGGCTGAGTCCAAAAGCATGAAGAAAAACCAGCATTAGGAGAAGAGGGGAAGAACATTCTGGGCAGAGGGAGGAGCGCACACAAACGGCCCCTAAGAGCTTAAAATACTCCAGTGTGAGTAGAGCAGATGGAGGAAGGGTGGAAGGGCCCCATCACACAAGACATGGCAGTGCTTCTGTTTGTACAGGAATTCAGAATTTGTGAGGGTTACCACTGGAATCATCATTCTCCACGATGGGGATTAGGAGGAAAAACTAGTGCTTACAGACAAGACAGATTTCAAGTTAAACTGAGAGTAAAATTGACACGGGACATCCAAAATCAGGAGATCAAATTAAGCATTAAACAGTCAATTCAAGAGCAAAGACCTGATGGTAGCTACAGACGGCAATTAGAAAGTATAAGCAATCTGACCCTACAGAAACTAGGGAGGGTTGGGGGGTTGGAGGGTAGAAAAGAGTCCTAATAATTTTTTGGCCACTTCATCCCAGAGCCCTACAATTTCATCCTGTAGTGGGCTTGAATCCTGAGGAAGGGCTAGGTAAAGTTGAATCCAGAGGCAGGAATACAAAGATGGAGTGCATTTCTCAAGCCATGTAATATGGTTCACAAACATCTCACCCACTATTGTATTTTGGTTTTCTTTTATAGGAAGAATATACAAAGGCAGATTCACACATTAATTTCTGGACTCAAGAGAAACAACATTTAAAAAGTCTTTCTAGTAAGTAAAGTTTCATCAAGTAAATGATGTTCTTATTTCCCCTGGAGACAGGTCCTAGAAGGTAGGCAGGGCTGCTTTATGTCATTTATATGCAGCATCGGAGAAAATAGCGTCCAAAATAACACAACTCTGCTGTTCCTAGAATTCTGTTTGTAGTTATTCAAAATAAGACTTGGGCTTATTTTTTCTAAAGGCGAATGAATTTTATGTCAACCTCGAGGAAATGCAGTATTTAAAGTTAACCTTATTACAGGAGGAATTCCTGGAAAGATATAATAAAATCCAACAGTTGGTAGATTCAAGCTGGAGGTCACTCTAATTAAGAAAGTAAAGAGTAAATGGAATGCAAACAATCCTATTTCACACTAAACAATTCAACTGGGGAATCATTCTAACACAGTGACTCAGGGTGGATTACATTCTCCCATGCACAGGCACAGCCCCCATTCACAATCAGCAGAGACACTGATGCATATCTAGAAACAGTTTGGGGCCTGGAGGCTGGTGAAATAAATTGTGTGGATCAATTTAAAATGCAGCCAGATGTTTTTTACTCCAAAAATGAAAGGACATGGAATGGGGGGGGGGGGGGGGGGAGCGGGGGAGAATCCACAGATAGCCCACCTGGCAGAAGACTGAGGCACAGGCAGTTTTAAAGTCAGCCATAAATTGGCTAACTTGACCTTTTCCTATCTTGCTATCTTTTTATTCCGTTAAAGGAACAATGCATACCAATAAATGACTTCATTTGATAAGCATTTTGGAAGGCTTCCTCATTTTAAAGCACTCTGAGGAAAACAGAGATGGATTGACCTGAATGCTGATCTCAAGAAGTTCAAGACTTGGCTAATAGGAGAAATGACTTGTGTGTGTACAAGATTAAACAAGGGAGACATTCCGAAAATAATCACAGATGTGTGAATAAAGTTGCCTACAAGGATTTCATGGAAGCATTACTGTAGTGAAAAACTGTATTCAGTAGGGAGTAGTTAAGAATGATACTTTTAAAAAAGTACCTAGTAATAATGATGGAATAGTTTGCAACCATTAAAAATGATGCTGGAAAAAAATATTTAAGGACTTGGAAAACTGTTGATGAAATATTGTTAAGTTTTTTAAAAAAGCTAACCAAATACTATGTACACTGTACTCCATTTTTGAAAGAAGAAAAGAAAAAATATTTTTACATTGGTTTCTTTGTACAAGGGAGAAACAAGTATTTAGCAAAATATTAACAATGTTTATCTTCTGGTGGTATCATTAGGAGTGGCTGTTTACTTTCTTTTTAAAATATCACCTATATTTTCCACAATAAACATACATTTTTGATAACTAAAAAAAAACTTTAAATGAGAATTTAGCAAAATATTAACGTTTATTTTCTAGTGGTATCATTACGAGTGGTTGTTTACTTTCTTTTTACTTGTTTTTAATCATCTATATTTTCCACAATAAACATACATTATTTTTGATAACTAAAAAAGAAAAATTCAAATGAGAGTTTAAAAGGAGGACAGAAATACAACACAGAGAAATTTACAAGAGGGAGAAAACGCCAGTTTGTTCCAGTCCCAACAAGGGTCCTCCTAGAGGGTGTCACTTGAGCCGATAGAATGAGACCCGAGTCCAGTTCAGAAGCAAAGGGAAGTTTTATTCTTTTTTTTTTTTTTTTTTTCGATACGCGGGCCTCTCACTGCTGTGGCCTCTCCCGTTGTGGAGCACAGGCTCCGGCCGCGCAGGCTCAGCGGCCATGGCTCACGGGCCTAGCCGCTCCGCGGCATGTGGGATCTTCCCGGACCGGGGCACGAATCCTTGTCCCCTGCATCCGCAGGCGGACTCTCAACCACTGCGCCACCAGGTAAGCCCCGGAAGTTTTATTCTTTGATCAAAGAAGGAAGAGGTGCAAGCTCGGGCTCCACAGCGAAGGCCTTGGGTAGGGCTGATTTATAGGGTTCTTGTTCTCAGGGGCGGAGCTCACTTCTCGCGGGGTCAGGGCACAGACACGGGCACAGACGCACGCGCAGCTGTGCCGCTCGGGGCTCCACATCACAGTGCCGAGCGCAGCATCTCTGCACACGATCTGCTGCCGCCATCTTGAATTGAGTGCCCTGCGCGGTTTCTGAGCGCTGCCCTCTGCTGAGGTGTCAGCGCAGCCGTTTTGAACCAGGAGCTCCGGTCCGAAGTGCTGGGTAAGAGGCCTCTGCATGCGGCCCCCTATGAGCCAGTGAAACTAGACTAAGCACAATGGAAAAGAGAGAAAAAGGTCAGATTTTATTTTATTACCCAGATTCTATTTTTATTCTCCGGGTATTGTTAATGGGCTTTGCTGGTGACAAATCCCTCCTGTGTCTTTTGTCCTGCACCTCATTCTTGAAGGGCTCTGAGGGGTGACGGTCCATCGTCTGTAACTGTTTACTGCTGATCTAGGGCGTCGTCATGACCCTGGGTAGAAGAGCGGAACCTCTCCCAGCCGCCTTTAGATGTGTTTGAGGGTCACCACGTCTCGGCCCTGACTGTTCGTGTCCCTGAGTGACCACCATTTGTGTACCATTTTGGAGATAAGGACACCAGACGATTTCAAATACATGGCCCAGATATTAGCAAGAGAATAATGGTCACATGTCAATTTTTTCCTAAACATGCAGGTATCTAGGTCTTTAGCCTACAGGCAGAGTGCCTTGACGGTATGCTCACTGCCAAGGCCTCAGTCTCCGTGGTCACGTTTTGGTTGCTTTACGGAAGAGAAGCTTCAGATGAGAAAGAGGTTCGCAGGAGCAGTTAGTCAAGGGGGTCCATTGCCCCAGGTTGTCTCTCTGGAGTTTGGGGCTCGGGGGCCTCTTCACTCAAGTTCGATGTCCCACGGAGTGAGCCCCTGCGGCTTCAGGGCAGAATGGGTAGTGAGATCACCAAGTGGGGCCCATTCCATCCAGGAGCGCGTCGTCTTGCGGGCTGCTGGTGTGCCAGGTTTTTAGGTTCACCCTGTCTCCCGGCCGGAAGGGGTGCAGGGCCAGATTGGTGGGTGTGGGGAGCACCTGTTACCATATCCCGTGAGAGCTTTCATGGTTTCTCCTACCCGAAGAGCACACGAGTTGTTCCATTTCAAGGGGGTTGTTCCTTCTCCTGGGCTTGGGGAATGGACCTACCGTATATGAGTTTAGAATGTCATCCACATACTGATCTTTTAGGTCTTTTGTTAGAGTTTCCCCAAAGATGATGGGGGGATTTTTGAACCCTTGAGACGGGACTGTCCAGCAGTATTGTTGTTTCATGTGTTTGGGTCCTGCCACTCAGAAGCAAAAATTTCTTGTCACTCTGGGGCTAATGGAATACAGAAGGAGGCGTCTTTTATATCTAACACGGAATACCAGGTCCTTGTGGACAGCAGAGTGCCCAGCAGGGTGTAGGGATTAGGGACTATTGGATGTATATCCTCAGTGACTTCACTGACTGCCCCAAGGTCCTGCACCATCCAGTATTCCCCATTGGGTTTTTTTTACAGTAAGAATGGGGGTATTACAGGCTGATTGGCAGGGTCTAACAAGGCCCTAGTCAATTAGGCCCTAACAGGGGTAGTGCCCAATGAAGTCTCCCGATGGAGAGGATACTGTTTTCTATTGGGCCATGTATATACTTTTCCAGTTATACAAATCAGAAGTGGTAAGTGTATACCTGGATGAGCCCTCCTTCTCCACTGGGGACCTGCCTCAAAAGGAGTACTTCATACTTTTCCTGGCAGGTTGTTGGACCCTGGCTGGTAACTAGCCCCACTCTGTGTAGTTGGTGAACTGGGTTATAGGGGAGGGAGCTTGTATGGAGGGAGTCTCTGGGGCTTGGGGTCCAAGTTGGGACATAGGAAGGAAGGGGGCAGGGAGGGAGCAGTCGGAGGAGGATTAGCGACGAGATCAAGAAGGTCCTCAGGAGGAGGGTCAAGCTGGCATTACCCTAGTGGAGGAGAGCCCACATCCCTTTTGAAGGCTTTTGTTCTGATATAAGGCCATAAAAAAATGGACGTAGGGAATTTCATCCCATTTCTTTTGTCTTT